AACTTGAAATTCGTTTAGAATTCTTTACTTTATCGTATGTAATTTATGAAGTAAGAGAGCAATGTTTTCCTTTTCAGCAGTGCCAGTTCTCGCATCTTGTACATAAAGAACTACTGGAGAGGAACAGGTAAGGTACTCACGCAGAATGTAAACTAATGAAAGAAAATACAGCATCGGGATTTTTGTATATCAAAATTATAATCTTAATTGGAAAAGCTTTCGTCATTCCTTTTTGATAGCTAACACTTAATTGATACGGAACTTTTAAAACTGAACTTAAAAATGATATAAAAATGACATCGAAACGTCGCTCTAATAAACTAGATTTATCGCTTTCGCTTCTATGAAAATGATAATCGTTAACAAATAATGGCACCACATGTTAATGGGCTTTGATATCACAGGACAAATCAACCATAATAAATATATATATATAAAGTCGCTAAGAATCTGATCATTTACGATCTAGTTCACTAACAAATGGTGTTTACAAGTTGCAAAATATTGTCCCGCTGGAGCAATATGACGTTTATTGTCACATGGATGCAATATCTGGGTGTGGAGGAGGAGGCTGGACCCTAGTGATGAAAATTGATGGCAATAAGGTGAAGATCTTTAGAAAAAAACCGAAAAACCACAAGTGTACAGAAAAAACGGTGTTATTATAGGAAATAACTATTTTATTTTCAGAACGATTTCAACTATAACTCTCCATACTGGACCAACATGGTAGCCTACGAAGTCGAAGATGGTCTTGAAGGCTTGACAGAAAAACAAACAAAGTTGGCTTCCTACTGGAACACACCGTTCAACAAGATTTGCCTCGGAATGAAAGTCAATAGTGAGACAAGATGGATAACGCTGGACTACGCCGCGAGTTCGTTATACAACGTGATCGGAGATGGAAGTTTCAAAAATACAAGTGTCGGGAGGGATGCATGGAAATCTCTTATCGATGGTTCAGCTTTGCAGAATAACTGTGACCAAGAAGGACTTAGTATTGATATAACATCACGTTTTTCATCTTATGTTCGGGTCAGGATTGGTATCGTGGCAAATAACCAAAACGACTGCTTTTCCTGCGACTCGTGTCTTGGTTTTGGTACTTCAGCTCGGTGTCGTGATGATATAAGAAACACAACATGCGGTAATATGGCTGTTTGTGGTTATATACGCAACAAAGACACACCAGCATTTGGATTTATACTTGTAAATTAGTCTCAGAAGAGTCCTAGCTCTGAGAAATATATTAACTTAATTGTCGAACCAAATCTTCATGTTATTAACGCATCAACATGAACCTACGATAGTAGCTATTTCTATAATTATCTAGTCTAGTTCTTTGATATCCTACATGTATATAACCACCTATAGGTATACAGGCATATATAATTTAAAGACTTAAAATAGAGCACGCAAGGAATGTTCGTTATGCATGTATATATAATATACGCGCTACAGTATTAAATAGAATTTTCAATATTTAAATAGATTAGGATATGTTTTAGAATACGACGCACCTTATATAATGTACCTTTAAAAATGAGTTTCTAGGCAAATATAAAAAACTGACCGGTCAAAAGATACATACTGCTTCAAAAAAAAATTCATGCACTACCAAAAGCGTTTTTGCATCACTCGAATAGTATACTTCCTTTCATGTTTCACTGCAAATTCAAGCATAATCAATTATATGCATAAAATCTCATTCCTATAAAACAATTGAACTCACGGACAATAACAAAAAAGTCCGCGTATATGCAGTTATAGGTGAAGTCTGCAATGTTTTTACGCTTGAACTGAGTAAATGTCTATAATGATCATTGCACGAAAAAGATAACATGACTACAGAAGCAGCAGATTATAAGTAAACTGTAATTGCCCCATTCAAATAATGACAAGGTTTCCTATCATTACATTATAGAAATTTTATTTTCGACGCATATTATTGCATAGATATTTGGCGAATCTTGTATAGCTACCTTGCATTCAAGCCCCAACCAAAGCCAAAACTGCGTGGGAACGAAATAATTGACGCTTCGACTTAAATCAAGCTTTAAATTATGCCCTCAATCCGTGATACAAATGCAGACTCCAGTATCGCTATATACACCTGCGGTCAAAAAGAACCGCTCAAAACAAGTTAAAATGCTCTCAAATGAACGTAACTGTCCCTCTAGCAATATATACGAGTAAATATAGACTAGATTACATGCTAAGCTATATGAAATATTAATATTTTGTTGACCTTCCTTTGGCCTTACAATTGATGACGGCCTTACACCGGCGTGGCATACTTTTTGTTAAGGTGGTAATCGTGAGCGGTCAAAAGAAATTCATCCTATGGACAGTCTTTACAGCAAGCCATAAATCATAAACGCTTTATGAATTAATTCCTTTCTTGCACTATCCCCTTGACATTGTCCAAAGATTTTCAATAGGGTATTGTATTTTGACTATGCAGGCCAATCCATTTCTGTCACTCTCTCTTCCTGAAACCATTGTTTGACTATCTTGGAAGTGTGGCAGGTTGCATTACATTACTGAAATATTTCTTGGAATAAGAGACTTATCCAAAATGCCGGGCTATGAAGCTCTCTCCTATATTCGCTTCTTCTTTGTGAATTTGCATCTAAACAGTTCTTTTTGACCGCAGGGGAACAGTAAAAGATTGATTGTTACGATTCCTGTTACATACGACAATAGCAACATTTGAGCAGTTCTTTTTGACCGCCAGTGTAATAACTGCGTCCGCCCTCCAAAGTTATGCCAGTAGTTATTTCTAGCTTGTGAAATATCAAGTGATTGCAGATCTCTCAGTAGTTACAAATCCTTACTGCCTTTCTTACATTTTCAGCGCGTCGCATTTCATACGGTACCACATAATATAGTCTGCCTTTATGCTCTCTAGAATTATCGAGTGCCTATATATATTATCACATGTTATATAACCTTACTTCCAATGCTGTTCCGTCGACGACTATTAAAATATCCAACAATCTATACCTATATATCTATTCCACCAAAAACTAGAAATGCATTTTTTATTTTGAGTTCAATTGAATAGTCATAAAATTGCACTGACCGAATTTCCTTACAATATAAATAACTTATACAATCTGCACTTATACCATGCATAAAAAATATAGCTCAGGCTGTATAGAATTATATACGGAGGTATAAAAACAGCCATGTATCACAAATAGCCATGCAACACAAACAGCCAGGTAACACAAACAGCTAGCTGTTTGATTTAAAATAGTGAGACCGCATTTTCTGTGCTAGGCAGGTGTAAGTATAATGATATACTTGAATCCTGAGTTCTTGAAACACTCTATACCTAATACTAGTAATCTGTCATTTCTAAAATACAATCTATGTATTCAATGTGTTGCATTCGCCGGTCAAGGTCGCAAGGAATTAAGTCCCCTAATATTAAGAAGAATATTTTTGTTCACTTGTTTTAAAGAACGAAATAGCAGTTCGAGAAACGACTGCTAATTTATATTAGTCAAAACAACTATAATAAAGGCACTTTTTTAAATTAAAATAACTACACGTTTATGAATGGATATTTGGCAATAAGTCAATTACTATTTGCGCAACAAAAAACGCTATGGCAACCATGTACTATATATATTAATGCGACCACGACTGTACATCAGATGTATCGCGCAACACATGAACTAAAGAACACATCAGAGCGCAGGTTTTAGAAAAAAGCCATACGAGTAGCCTGTGGTAGCTATATAATGGCCAACCTACTAGAAATCCTTTTTGCGTTCATTTTCATTTCACAAATGGCACAACCCGGTGGCGAATGCTCAACGCAAGCAGTCTTTCGTAGATACGAACAAAAATACTTGGCGAATCATGTCATCGAACAAAAGCAAGCAAATTCAGAGTTGGAATGTGGTATGCACTGCGTTGCACATGGTTCATGTGCGTCAATCAATTATAAAACTTCTGGAATGGGCAAAGGTTTGTGCGAGCTCAACAGCAAGACAACTCAAGAAGTATCCAATGTCGATGAGAAAGCGAACCCTGAATTCAACTATCTTCATCTCATCATTGTTCCAGTACGTATTATATTTATATATACCGTGGGAACATGTATTTCTTGAAATTTAAAGCGCATTTGTTAAGGAACATGTATTTGTATTCAGCAAGCTCAGGCTCAGCGTATAATTAAAATGCGGGATAATGCATATACAATACTGTACAGAAATAACTTAACAAAACCGCGTTTAACCGGTCAAACCTCGCTCTAATCACGGTTGAACCGAGGTGTCAGACCGAGGTCCAACCGCAATAAAACGGCGCAGCTTAATGCTTTGCTGACTTAACATCCCGTTGCAGGTGGGGTTGGATATTTTATAACAACTGCCTAAAATAGGCAAGAATATTGCATGAGTGACTCTCCTCGCGAAGATTGAAACGTGGAGAAGCATTTTTGTCTATTTTAGGCAGTTGCCATGCTGCTTTTTGGTTATATTGGATATTACTCTTACGAGTTATATAATTTCAAAATACCCTTAAGTTGTATGCGGAGACAAAAATAATGAGTTACTCGCTGACGTCGCTTCAGAAACACCTGCAGTGCACACCTGCACTTCCCTTTTAACTTCGTTGCTTGCAAGAAAGCGAATTTTTGTATTTTGAATTTGTTTGTTTCCACAGAACCTGAGAAAATTGGGGCAATATTTTTTGTCGAATATTTGTACAGTTTTACGGCTGAAATTTTTAAGCCAAGCACATAAAATTTAAATCACTGGACAATGTTACATAATTTTATTTTTAAACTTTATTGCTGACAAGAAAGGAAACCATCCGTGCATGAATTTGTGCGTTCTCGAAAAGACTTATATCGACTGCATGCACGTAATTGCATGAGCGATAATTAACCGATAAATTAACCGATAAATTAACCGATAAATTAACCGATAAACCACACCTTATAACCACTAAAATCATTAAAATTTTAGATCACTTTCTGACGGTGTTTACACGTTACAAGCAAATGACTCGCTCGAAAAATACCCAGTGTACTGTCAAATGGCTGATACAGCTGGATGTGGAAAGGGAGGCTGGACACTAGTGATGAAGGTGGATGGCAACAAGGTACGCTCCAACACCTTTTCAAAATTTACCTCACACGCCTATGCTTTGTTAAACGAGAGCGAAGTTTCTTGGTCAAAAGATACAACAATCGATATTTTGTAAGATTTAATGGGCTTAACAAGTGAATCACAGGTTTACATTACAATGTCTGACAACATGTAATGTTTTTAACACCCCAGAATGATTTCAACTACAGTTCTTCCTACTGGACGAACAAGAAAACTTTTGCAGTCGAAGATGGTTTGGAAGGCTTGTCAGAGAAGCAAACAAAAATGGCTTCCTACTGGAACACACCGTTTACCAGAATCTGCCTTGGAATGAAGGTCAACGATGTCACAAACTGGATAACGATTGACAAGAAAGCTAGGTCGCTGTTCGATGTGATCGCTGGCGGAGCAACAACTAGGACAACCGCTGGAAAGGAAACGTGGAAATCGCTGATCGCGGGCTCATCGCTGCAAAACAACTGCAATGATGAAGGGTTTAACCTGAGATGTCAAATTAACGAACTTTACATGCGTGTTCGAATTGGATTAGTTGCGAATAATGAAGTCACCTGTGATACCTGTGACTCGTATATTGGACTTGGTGTTTCGTATCTGGGCTGTGGTATTCAATCTACAATAACATGCGGCAACTTGGCAGTGTGTCACAGCTCTTCCCATTATAATGCTGACACCTACATCTGGGCATTCGGTTATATACTCGTCCAGTAGCAGGTCCTATAGTGTAAAGAACTAGGAAGCTAGAATCGTAGGAGACTCTAGTATGTTCCGTGTACTTTTTATATAGAGACGATTTTGAGGTATTGAAATGGCCAAACAAGCATATGCTCAGCCGGCATAACTACACCATTAACAAAATGATGTTAGATATCTATTTCAATACCTCAAAGTTATTTTAGGCATCGTGAAAGTTTGCCATCGTGGGTATAACCGGGATTATATATAAAAAGTTCTTACATAGAGAGAGAGCTCCATAGATTTCCATATGAGCTCCACTAATTTTAAAATTTGCAGTTATAGGTGTTTTAGAAAGAAATGAGCGAAGATACAGGTACTTGTCGAATAAGGTGATCAACAAAACAGACAAAATTCGATTTTCAATGTGGTTTACTCTGTACTCGATTATTATCATATCGAATACATTTTAAAATTTAGTCGCCACGTCAGGATGCAGAATATTTAAGAAGTCTGGAAGCCAAGTAAAAATAGTGCAATTATTTCTTTTTGTACAGATGGCTAATTTCGATCATAATGATAACATATCGTCTATCAGGCAATGCAGAACGCAGGCACCAAATACTTATACGATTATGGCAGCCTGTGATATATAGTATGGCGCCTGCAAAACAGACAAAAGTAATATTTAGTACTAAATCACTCGCCCTCCGCTTGTGTTTCGCGCGCTTTTCTTAATTCTCGTAACATTCCTGCGTGTTTGGATCAGGCCATCTAAACACGGAAACCATAAAGTAATTGTTTATTGCAGCAAACCTAATTATCATCCTGCATGACTAGTACGGATCGTGTTATTATGAAAATGTTGGAACATCGTTTGATCAAGAAGGATAGTCAAACTGTTCTCAGCCAGGGCTTTACATCGCTGGACTCTATCGTGGTTTTGGTAACTCGCTGGACAATATCGACAAATTCCGATGCTGTCAGATGGCTGCATGACAGCACGAGATAGTGAACTGATAAGATATATAGAACTTGAGACGTTGGTCAAACATTAGTTGTGCATGTGTGTCTATTCCCTCTGTGATGTAAGTTAAAAGTCTATAGTAAAATGTATCTTTTTTTGCTTTTTTCCATCGAAAAAGCATTTGCATGCAGCTCTTATTATAATAGAATGGCAACTATTTCTAAAAAATTGAGTAGATTTTTCGGACGCCCGCGTGGTATTATGTAAGAGAATTTTAATAATTATGTAGATTATAATACTTCCGCAAAAGCTAAAAGAATTGGCGAAGATTTTACTCATCATGGAAATAACCTAAATAAGACTTTTTTGACGCTAATATAGCAATATAAAGTTGAGCATAAGCCACCAGACTTGAAACAAGCCTCATTACTCGTGCTCTAGGAGAGCACGAGTCTAGGTTTCGTCGTGTGTCGGTCGCGTTTTGGACCTCGATGACCCAGAACGCATTGCGCACTTGACCCAGTAATGTTGACGAAATGTAATTATCCGACAATACAAGCCACATTTTACAAACAATACGAAGGATGCAAAATATATATGCACAGAAGACATTACTACGGTGCAACATTTACATGCATATTGATTGGTGCGATGTATATTTTTAAATTCCAATATGAAAGCAAGATATATGATCGATGTTTTCGCAGTGTTATAGACGTACAAATGCTTATAAATAATACTTATTTATACGTTTGAACCGTCGACTGACATTACGAACAATACGAATCAATACTATTACAACCAGTTTTTTGAAAGCTTTCGTCGGAACTAAAACACTGCAGTCTGCAGGACTTCAATATAGAAGCATTGACACAGTAATATGTCACGCCGTGTTGATTTTTAGGCTACCTATAATCGGCATTTGTGAATTGTGATAATGTAAATGTATTATTTTATACTTGTGTGATACATTTTTGTCGTGTAAGTCCTCCCAGGCCCAGGGTAACCACAAAGCCTTAACTTACGCTATAGGTTCCAACAACACGCCATGATTGGACGATACATCGTTATATACTCACTCAAAAATATGTGATCTAGATTCGGCCGTAACGGAAGTCAATGATGCTATAATACGATTGCTTGATTACTCTCAATGCTCTAATCTAGCACTAAATCCCACTAAGACAGACTGGATGTTATTTTCCACACCCCAGATGGCACGTGCTCATAATTTAGGAGAACGTACGTTCAGTATTAAGTGCGGGGATAAATTACTTGAACGGATAAGGTGTAAAAATATCTTAGGGATTTACTTAAATGAGCACCTCTCATGGTCCTCACATGTTGACTCTTTGTTAACCTCTTGTTACGGAATACTAGCAGTACTGAAGAAATTGAAGAACTTAACGCCTTTCAACGTGAGGAGAACACTGGTTGAGAGCCTTGTGCTTTCCAAGATTGACTATGCTAGCCCTATATTCTACCCATTGCCATTATATCAACAAAAACGACTTCAGCGCCTCCAAAACGCATGTGCGGGTTTTGTTTTAAGGAGATTTGCAAGTGAAGAGGACATTGCCACCTTGAACTGGCTAAGTATTAGAAAAAGGATGGACTTTAACATTTTAAAATTAGCATATAAAGCTTTGCATGACGATTCTTTTCCAGAATATCTAAGCTTATCAGTACGTTGAGCACTAGTGTACGCCTAAGCCGGCGTCTTGTTGCCTCATAAATTTATCCGGTGTCCTAGTTCTATGACAAGAACACTTGTTAAAAATCAAGTATATTTGAACAAGTGTACTTGTCATGGAAAAAATTGCCAAAGTTGGGCGTACAGACGAACAATTAAAACTTGTCACATAAAAACTTGTCATAGAAAACTTGCTCGTATGTAAGAGGCTTTATGTGTTACATGCATGAGATCAAAGGCCTAAATATTTTCAAAATACAGTACTGCTATAACTCAGTCGCGTAGCCAGCCTGACGATTTAGTCATGCTATGCAAATTTTATGTTATTATCATTATTTATTTCTTTAGAAATTTAGTGTTTTCACAGTCGATGAACACCAAAATATTAGCATAGCATGACTAAATTGTCAGGCTGGCTACGCCACTGCTATAACTGTATGTGTATAGAATGGGTTCGTACGCGTTAGGAAATATAACTGTAAGCAAACTCTATCCAAGACTTGTCACATATATTGCTATGTGAATATAGGTTGAGAATATTATAAACATTTGGCAGAGTGCACAATACTCACAATGGACACTCAGAGCTCAGAGCATATTAAATGAAATCATATGACTTAAAATTTTCTAGCCAAAGCTTTAAATATAACGATTTGACTTCGCATATATTATTTCCCTATTATTTACCGGATGCAAAAAAGTATATTTAGCACCTGCAATATAATTATAATTTGTACCGACAGGAACTTGATACATGAACGTAATCGCTAACGCAATTAAAAGTTCTTAGTTTATTCAAAAGGTACACCTGTTTATAGACTAATTCATCGTATTAAACCCTAAAGTAGACCTTATAATTGGTTTTATTTCATTTGAATGATGACATGGATTTTTTTTATTCCCGAATAAAATTTTAATTAAAGCATTCAAAAGCTTAAATACCACCTTATATACAATGGATGACTTGTGCTTTAGACCAACTTTTGATCGCAGTAACTTGAGGAAAATAAATCACCCCAGCTAAAAAGATCTTACTTAAATTAGTGCAAATGCAAAGTGTGGCTGCGAAATTTTGTTAAAAACGGAAAATGTAGCCATGCGAAGTTGGCAAATTTTGTATACTTTTGTACTACGTGGGGAAATGTGTTTGTAACTAATTTAGTTACAAACTTCCGGTCGTAATACAAAAGTATACAAAAATCGACAACTTCGCATGGGTATAATTTCCGTATTTTGCAACAATTTGCAGTCAAACTTGGCAGTTTTACTAATTTTAAGAAGCTCTTTCAAAAAATATCCTTTTTATCGCCGAGGTAAGAAAGTAGTCTAAAGCGCAAGTCGTCCATTCACTCAACGGAAACAAAACCTACTTAATTATTGGTCATGCATGCAGGTGGGACCATACTTAATTATCATGATCACGACCGTATTTTCGATGCGCGCAACATATAAGTATCAGATGTCCGTAAGTATACACCATATAGCATATCTGCCAGATATCAAAGGATATATACTAAAACGTTTGCTCTAATTTCGAAAAAAAGAGCACATTAAACGGAAGTGTATGAGAAAATGTCGCCTATCCAACAGACGAGAAAATATCACGAGAAGGCTCAAAAGGACGTACTGATCATGAAAACTCTGCGTTTGCCTTCCGTCTTTTTAAAATTCGGTCTCCTGTTGCTGATATTTTTTAATCTTCATACATTTGGAGATGGGTTGGACTTTTGCTTCGATGGATCAAAGGAAGGTAGGGTCTGAAATGTTTTTTAGAGCGCACCAATACACTCGTACTTTTATTATGCCTGTGAACTGAACAATCGCAATATATAGTTACACATCAGTATTATTTTTTCAACGACATTTATGATGAGAAAAATGCTCTTCAATACGTACTCAGTAAAGCCTTTCCTATCATTAAAAACTCTCGCTCGGTTGATAAGAAGTCTTTAAACGAAAAAAGTAATATTAAAAGCCTTCATTGGTTATTAAATTATTATTATATTATTATTATTAAAAGCCTATATTGTTTATTATATTATATATTACTATCATTATTATATAATCATGAAGTTATTTCTTCATAAAAAAAACTCTCCAGAAAAAAAATGGTAAATAGCAAAGATAAAAAACCTATTCATATGAGTTTTATGTGAGACAGTTTTACAGATGTTTAAAAAATAATTCGCTATAGACCTACGATAAAAAGTTATTAATAATAAAATGTAAAAATATAATTAATACCGCGTGTATTATTACATAAAAGACATTAACGATAAACTATAAACTCCCTGTTTTTTTGTTTATTAAGGCACATCCATTAAGGACATCCCTCAGACATTTATGTATTTAAGGGTTTCTATGGTTTAGACGTTTCAGCTTCCATTCTCTTTGGTTAAGGACATCCCTCAGACATTTATGTATTTAAGGGTTTCTATGGTTTAGACGTTTCAGCTTCCATTCTCTTTCTTACGGCAAAGTTTTTGCATTTGTTTTAAGGTTATCGTTTAAACGGTAAACCTATTGAAAATATTCACGCCAACTCCGGAGCGGAATGCGCTTTAGAATGTGCAAAAAAGGAAGGATGTAGATCCATCAACTTCAAAAAAACTTGCGGAGAAATGGAAAACTGCGAGTTACTCGCCGACGTTGACACGGAAACACCAGCAGTAAATTTAACCAAAGATGAAGATTTTGATTATTACAAAATGCTGGATTGTAACGGGGTAAGTGCTTCAAATTCGATATCATCCATGACCGCGCGATTAGTTAATGCATGTTTTCACGTTGATCATTTAAGTATAAAATAAGCCATTAAAGAGGGGGCTAAATGCACTTTGCTGCTGGTACGACATCACGATCGATGCTATAAAAATATTTCAAATCTTCAAAATCAAAGAGATTATTTTGGGCGTGACATATTGTTGTAGCTACTTCAAATTTACAATTAACGTTTTTTGAAAAATCTTATATCATCACCTTTTTTGGGAGAATAATTTTTTTATCCTGACCTAGAAGCCGATAGAAGCTCCTTCACCCACGCAGAAAAACCAATCAGAAGGTATAAGCTTATACATGCAAGCGTTACATGTATTCTTTACTGAAGGATATCAAAAAATTTCGTTGTTGCTAAAATGATTTAGATAAAGAACATATAGATCATAGTCTTTTCGTTATCACCAAAGTTTTCATAAAAATATAATATTTATTGAAGAATGATCATCTAAAAAGAAGACTGTATTCCAAATAATTACTTTTCTTAGTTATTTATTGTCTAAATAATAGGCTGATGTTTCCCTTTTCAGCAGTCCAAGTGCCCACATCAACTTGCAAAGAGCTGTTCGATCAGAACAGGTACTGTAAAATAGAGACAGCATGTGAAATCAATCCAGTACTAATAAATAATGTGAAACGTTACAAAGGATTTGCCTTTGGTAGCAAAACCAATTTTTCTCATCACTTAAGACAGACCAAAGCTGGTGAATAACGAGTTTATTTCTTTCGAAAGCAAGCGTGTTTTAAAAGTTTATTGTGCAAGTTATATTCCTGCTCTCGATTAGTAGACTAACTCAATCAGACAGCAAACGAAGCAATTGGATTGCTTATAAAAGGCGCCGGCACAGGGACGGAAGAATTAACCTTGGGCCATTAATCCTGTTCGAAACATCGGCAACCTTTATTTCATATTGTATTCACTTGCCTCAAGGTGAATAAAAACCCTTCCCCTTTGGTTCCATGCACTATAAAGTCAAGAATTTGCCCAAACCTTCCTAATTGCCCAAAGACTTATTGCATATTTTATTCCCTAACTCCACAAATTTTGTCTGCTTTTCTATCTAGTTCACTACCTAACGGTGTTTACAAGTCACAAAATAATGTCTCCCTTGAGCAATATGATGTTTATTGTCATATGGATGCAATATCTGGATGTGGAGGAGGAGGCTGGACCCTAGTGATGAAAATTGATGGCAATAAGGTGATGATAAGTGATAACTATAGAACAATCCAAAAAACAACTCGGATATTGTCGAAAATAAATCACAATTGTAGGGAAATAATTGACCATTTCAAATTTAGAATGATTTCAACTACAGCTCTTCATACTGGACCAACAAGGTAGCCTACGAAGTCGAAGATGGTCTTGAAGGCTTGACAGAAAAACAAACAAAGCTGGCTTCCTACTGGAACACACCGTTCAACAAGATTTGCCTCGGAATGAAAGTCAATGATCAGACAAGATGGATAGCACTGGACTACGCCGCAAGTTCGTTATACAACGTGATCGGAGATGGAAGTTTCAAAAAGACAAGTGTGGGGAAGAAAAAATGGAAATCTCTTATCGATGGTTCAGCTTTGCAGAAAAACTGTAACCGAGAAGGACTTAGTATAAATATAAGATATGAAGCACCAGGTTATTCAACCTATGTTCGGGTCCGGATTGGTATCGTGGCAAATAATCAAAACGACTGCCGTTCCTGCGACTCGTGTATTGGTTTTGGTACTTCAGCTCGATGTAACGATGATATAAGAAACACAACATGCGGCAATATGGCTGTTTGTGATAAACTAAACAACAAAAACACGCCAGCGTTCGGATATATACTTGTACATTAGCTTCGCAAGAAACTATGTATATATATGTAATTGAGCTTCTAACTACAGGCAGCAGTATATGTACAGTACTGTGCAAAAGTTTTAGGCCCCCAGTCAAATTGTCACTTGTTAGTAAAATTCATGGTATTGCAAGACATGCTAGGTAGAAAGACTTGTAGTGGTCTTGCACTGAAAGCCATGAAAGACCATTATTGGGGCACAATGCCCAATCATTGACCCAACAAGCTTCTTTGTTACATCTGGATCAAAAGCCTCACGTGATGCGAAAATGGTCTCTTTGATTCTTCCAGATGTCGAGATGGTCTTCTATATGACCTCTTCCTCACTTATTCCCAGAGATATTCAAACAGGTTTAGGTCGGTATTGTTTTGTTGCCCTGTACTGATTGATATTTCTTTCTGTGGGGCTTTTTTCTCTGTCACATGGTGCCCTATCTTTCTCAAAGATAAAGTCTCAACCGCAAAGCTCTCTCCACCTTTTAGAAAGTCCCAAGATCGTAAATTTTCGACTAGATACGGAAAATGGTATGTTTGGCTTGTATCTAGAACTTTCCTAATAGATGAGATGGCTTTGTGGTGGAGATTATATCTTCCAGTAAGATGGGGTACCATGTCATACAGAAAAGAGCCTGAAAGAAAGTGATATTGACCAACCCAGGGTTATAAGAGATTGCTGACGTAAACCTCATTGAACATTTTTGGGAATAAGTGAGGAAGAGGTCAGATAGAAGACCATCTCGACATGTGGAAGAATCAAAGAGACCATTTTCGCATCACGTGAGGCTGTTGATCCAGATGTAACAAACAAGCTTGTTAGGTCAATGACTGGGCATTGTGCTGCAATAATGGTCTCTCATGGTGGCTGTACCAAGTGCAAGACCACTACAAGTCTAGTTTACTAACAAGTGATAATTTGACTGGGGGCCTAAAACTTTTGCACAGTACTGTATATGTATATATATATGTATTATATATATATATATATATTATATATATATATATTATATATATATATATATATATATATATATATATATATATATATATGTAAATATATGTCCGACAGACTTAATATATTTGTCTTTTGCCCGACAGCGATTGTTATTACGCTTATTTGAACACGAATCGATAAATATTTGCGCTCCCCTATTACGATTATAGATGCACAAAGGAGGCTTGCGTGTCCAAAAGTGTTCCCTTACTCTACGACAGGTGCTACAAAATACTTCATTAAGTATGCATGTCGTCGAAGAATACTAAAACACTCGCTCGTATAATAGAATAATAGGCGGTGGTCTATGAACTATCCATATATACAGTACTGTCCAGTTCAACTGCCTGGTTGCGGTTCAGTCACGGTTAAGTTGTGGTTAGGTTGCGGTCGACAGATAGAAACCGCACACTTCTGCAAGGGAAGGGGTCTCTGGACCAACAAGGCAGCCTACAAAGTCGAAGGTGGTCTTGAAGGCTTCACAGAAAAAGAAACAAAGCTGGCTTCCTATTGGAATACATCATTCAACAAGATTTGCCTCGGAATGAAAGTCAATGGTCAGACAAGATGGATAACGCGCTTATAAATCTTTTTCATGTTTTAATGCATGGGGCGAAAAACTTTCCTTGTAGTCAAATGCTTGAGATAAACTAGAAGATACCTCTTTCAGATAAACTAGAAGATTTTAAAATGTCCAGAAAACTTATTTGAACTTAAATCTATAAATATTCGCGCTCCCCAATGCGCTCCCCCAACATAGATACTCTTTCACATATATGGAAATGACTTTTTTCACGACAATTACGACACAAGAGGGAGCATTGTGTTGGTTGTATGCAGCGCGCTTAACTTTAAACAGTGTATAAGTCAAAGTTAAATATCACCCTAGCTTGCATCTCTCTTGAATTAGTCAACTCAAGTGTACAGTCATTCTGTTACCAGTTAACACTTATATGTATGGAGAATAGAGGCAGTGGCGTAGCCAGCCTTACGATTTAGTCATGCTATGCAAATTTTATATTATTATCATTATTCATTTCTTTAGAAATTCATTGTTTTCACTGTCAATGAACAACAAAATATTAGCATAGCATGACTAAATTGTCGGGCTGGCTACGCCACTGAATAGAGGTATTCTTTAGGCTCTCCTCAGGATAAATGGTAAACGATGAGCTGGGTGAAAGCGGGTAGAGATAATCGATATTACCGATCATATAGATCAGGGTAAAAATTCCCATTTATTTTATATCTTTATTCTGGAATGAAAATTCCAATTATAGTTTGAACATTTCAAAGCCAAGCGGAAAAAAAACAGAAAAGGAGTATAAAATTTACTCTTCAAAATATAATTTACTGAGAGAATTATAGATGCACAAAGGAATTATTCACATACCAATAAATAATTTATTGCTCGCTGCACTTGAGACTTAATTAAAGTATAGATTCAAGACTTTAGTCGAACGCATGAGTAATTTCCCTGGAATTCTGAGGACATGAAGGTTACGTGTTACATGTAGGTTATTGTACGAGATCTAAAGCACAGAAAACAGAGCTCGTCATGACAAGGTACCTTTCAGATATAAAGCTAATGAAATGAAGCGATAAGGGAGGCATGCGTGCAGTAGCGTAGCCAGCCTGTCGATTTGTCCCACTATGCTAATATTTTGGTGATCATTGACTGTTAAAACAATACATTTCTAAAAACATGAATAATTATAATAACTCGAAATTTACATAGCGGGAAAAGCCAAAACATGTTCTCCACTTTAGGACAGATGCTACAGAATACTTCATTAACAATGCATGCATAATGCACTTCTGTATCGTTGACGAACGCAAGTGTTCGTTTTCCAAGTATACGATTGTAGCCTGTCAGTTTACGAAGGATACCAAATCATTCGCTCGAATTCTAGAGTAATATACTACATACACGGTGGTCTATGAAAAAAAATGCCGAAATCTGAACAAACAAAGGCAGGAGTATTTCGCGATAAGGTTCGTGAGTTCTTATTGACTTTAAAAGCCATCCGTTTGCCTTCTGCATTCAACACATTCTGTCTTCTGTTGTTGATATTTTTTAATCTTCAAACTTTTGGAGAGGGAATTGACTTTTGCTTCGATGGAACGAAAGAAGGTAAGACCTGGGACATTTTTAAAGCTGAACAACAAATTCAACTTAGAAATAAATTAAATTTAAAAATGTTAACGTGACAACGTATGAAGGCCTACTTTTTAACAAACTACAATAATTGTGGTAAAATGAGATCTTTTCAAATCTTATAGTTATATAAGGTTTTTTCTGCATAAAGGTTTAATATTTTTATGGTCTTCTTACACGTTTTTCGTAATGTTATAAGGCTATCGTTTAAAAGGGAAGCTAATTGGAAATATCTCGACCAACTCTGGACCAGAATGCGCTATGAAATGCGCAGGACAGAGTGGATGTAGATCTGTCAACTTTAAAAAAGTCCGAAGTTGTGAGGAAACAGAAAATTGTGAATTACTCGCAGACGTTGCCTCACAAACACCTGCAGTGGATTTAGCTAAAGATGAAAATTTTGATCATTATATACTGCTCGATTGTAACGGTGTAAGTATACATCAAATTCGCTAATATCATATCATTGCAAAGTGTATAGTTAATTTTTCACTTATATTCTTTTAAACCTTATTCCTTACAAGAAAGACCGACTGCATGCACGTAATTCAGCCGATAAAAACTTTCAAAAAATTGAAATGATAATTTCTGTCGAATATTTCTAGAAATGTTAAGGCCCAAATTTTTAGGCACAACACATGCAGTGTAAAATGACGGCAACGAATTTCAATTGTTGTTTTGCTTCTATCACAATCATCATGCATGCAACTGTTGTATACGTTTCACGCTCCGGATTGCCGCATTGCAAACTGCTTTAAAATGTAAAAGTTTAGCATTGTTTTCATTCCACAGAGTGCACAAGCGTATATTCCGAAAAAGCGATGCTTAAAATACCTGCGGAAAGTCTAGATGTCCAATAAAAATATTTCAACACTGTCAGTAATTATCCATAAATTATTACGAGCCATTCGCGTTGCTTTGGTGATTCACTCAGTATGTTAATAATTAATGGTTAGTTTATACACTATTTTTAAACTTAAGTGTGTTTAGATTGAAGTGTTTATACATACGTTGAGTTATATTAACAAGGCAACGCTTTTTGGGGTTATTTATTGTTTCTCACTCTTCAATATCAGCTTTATCAGAGGAATCAAATTCGTTTTCGTTCTAGAAAACACGTTTTATACAAGACTGTTTCCTGGAATTCTCTTTTCCCTTTAATGAGTTATCCAGCTATACACTGGCCAATTCTTAAGGTGTCTACATATTATATACAAATGGCCGAAGATCTTTATGCCAGTGCTCTCAAGCATGCATGCATGCATAGTTCAATTATAATTAAGTTATTGACAAGCGCTTCATCATGCAGTACCCTGCATGAAAGATTATATTGATCCACTGGTCCACGGCGATTGTCTTATGTAAAATCAAGAACCGTTTGTGAAATCTGTGAAATGTGTGACATCTGTGAAATCTCTTTCTCTTTCATCTGTGAAACGATGAAAAGCTGAGCAAGGACGAATTTTAAAAACAGTTCGATCTGCCCTTGAAGTTATTATGAAACTCTAGCCTATATAGCTAGTATATTGTGGCCTATTTTCGTTGTTATCTAGCAAAATGCAACACCTTCATTTCTTTATCAGACATTAATCGAGGATAATTTTTCTGGTATACATTTTGTACTTCCTCTTGTCAATCTTGATACAGTGTAAATACTCGACTGTATAAAAACGCGGAAGACTAAGCCTGCGACAGCAAAAAAAAATAATAATAATAATAATCGCAAAACCTAGGCTCGCCTACCACAAACAGGTAGCTCGAGTAATAAATATACTTATAAATATATTTTATCATGAACAGTAATACTTTCGTCTAATCACGGAGATTATTGGGGTGTATATGTATGGTCTGAGTTAAACTAATATCTTTTTTAGAAACCGTTAGACGCTCCCCCACCTGCAAGCGCTCCGACAAAAAAAAAACCATCAGCAGGTAAGCGTTATGAAGTCATAACAACTAGTGTGTGATACTAGTAACCTAACACTATATATAACTTTCCCAAAATATTAACAAAAATTAAATTTAAACAACCTCTTTCGTTCTGATAGCAATAGGATCAGCTACCATAATTTGTTTCTTTTATCGAAGGCAAAACAGAAATTAATTTTCAATTTTTTAGGCATACCATCAACATGTTTGACAGTAATCTTGAATCCGCACTGGTTAAAGTGTAGCAGTCACAGTTTCATCACAGGGTTTTATCGAAGTTCCACTGATACTGGTAGCAATGCCGTCTGTTGCAGCCCGACACCAGCGTTGAGTAGCCCAAGTTGTGTGTCAAAGCGATTTACTTACTGGCATGTTTCGCTTAAGTATGTCGCTAGAAAGAATAGCATATATAACATATTTCATTTTAGTATTTATTCAATTATTCATTTTGAAATCAATGGTGTTTCTTGCAATCTGATTGGTTTAAAATAGTGTGATTATTCCCAAATCGCACTATTTTTGAGCATTAATCACATCATTTTTAAGCCAAGATTGAAGCTGTGCACCACAATAACCAGTCAGATTTAGTATTTCACTTTAAACCATGCAATCAAATTGCAGGTGAAAATAGCACAAAATTTTATTATTTTGAATTTTTAAATGCCCCGCAAAATTTCCTGACAAAAATAGATGAAAATTACTCACATTTTCACATTACGGTTTTTCCGCCAATGAATCGTTTTGAATTTGTTTAATTTTTTGTATCATTTCAAAATGAATATAATAAAGTGGAGATTGCACTTCGTGTCGTGCAATTTTGGTGTGAAATCAAACTTGTGATTCTCCCGCTTCGCGGTCGTGCGATTTTGTAATCACGCGTTTGATTTCACACCAAATTTCACTCCACTCAGTGCAATTACGATTATAAATTTCGAGGTGACTATTGATTTTCCTGCATTCTGATTGGTCAAGATTCACTGTCTCTGAAGCGATGGTCACTAGTCGGTGACTATAGCTTTTTGTTGTTGTTTTTTAAATAAAAAATTGGGGTAATTATCTAGTATATATACTGCGTTTGTGCATAATTTATGCTATGGTGAAAAAATCGATATACATATTAGACTGGTAAAGTTTTATTACTTATAGCTACTAACATTATATATTTCAATTCTATATAGCAATACGCAATGGATATCATGTGGTGTGGGTGGTGGATTTTTTAACGGAATTTCATTCAGTCCTACCAGCAACAACCTGATGATTAAATATGCCCATTGCTGTCAACCAACAAATTATCTCAGCAATTATGGATCATGCTATACAGAAGATGTAGGAGAATCGTTTAATAAAAAAGAGTTAGCGAACTGTTCAAAATCTGGCTACTACATCACCGGACTCTATAGTAGATCTGGACACTCCTTGAGCGATATCAACAAACTTTGGTGTTGTCAAATGGATTTAGGTGACGTAGGGGGCTGATGATATGCATTCAAAGCAAAACCTCAAAAATCGTTTAGAATTCTTTACCTTATGCTATGTAACTAATGAAGTAATAGAGCAATGTTTTTTTTTCAGCAGTGCCAGTTGGTCCAGTTCTCGCTTCATCTTGTAAAGAACTACTGGAGAGGAACAGGTAAGGTACTCACGCAGAATGTAAATTAATGAAAGAAAATGCAGCATCGGGATTTTTTATATCAAAATGATAATCTTAATTAAAAAAGCCTTCGTAATACATTTTGATAGCTAACACTTAATTGATAAGGAACTTTCAAAACTGGACTTAAAAATGATATAAAAATGACATCGAAACGTCGCTCTAATAAACTAGATTTATCGCTTTCGCTTCTATGAAAATGATAATCGTTAACAAATAATGGCACCACATGTTAACGGGCTTTGATATCACAAGACAAATTAACCATAATAAATATATAAAGTCGCTAAGAATCTGATCATTTACGATCTAGTTCTCTCCCAAATGGTGTTTACAAGTTGCAAAATATTTTCTCGCTCGAGCAATACGACGTTTATTGTCACATGGATGCAATATCAGGGTGTGGAGGAGGAGGCTGGACCCTAGTGATGAAAATTGATGGCAATCAGGTGAAGATCTTTAAAAAAAAACAGAAAATCACAAGTGTACAGAAAAAACGGCGTTATTATACGAAATAACTATTTTATTTTCAGAACGATTTCAACTATAACTCTCCATACTGGATCAACAAGGCAGCCTACGAAGTGGAAGATGGTCTTGAAGGCTTGACAGAAAAACAAACAAAGCTTGCTTCCTACTGGAACACACCGTTCAACAAGATTTGCCTCGGAATGAAAGTCAACAGTGAGACAAGATGGATAGCGCTGGATTACGACGCAAGTTCGTTATACAACGTGATCAGATATGGAAGTTTTAAAAGGCTTAGCACAGCCGCAGGGAGGGGTGCATGGGGATCTCTTATCAATGGTTCAGCTTTGCAGCCTAATTGTAACCAAGAAGGATTTAGTATTGATATAAGATATGCAGCATCACATTTTTCAACCTATGTTCGAGTCCGAATTGGTATTGTGGCAAATAATGAAAACGACTGCAAAAGTTGTGACTCGTGTATTGGTTTTGGTACTTCAGCTCAATGTAACAATGATATAAGAGGCACAACATGCGGTAATATGGGCATTTGTGGTCAGGTAAACAACATAAACATAGCCGCATTTGGATTCATACTTGTAAATTAGTCTCACAAGAGGCCTCTGAGAAGCATATTAACTTAATTCTTGAACCAAATCTTCATGTTATCAACGCATCAACATGAACCTACGATAGTATTTCTATATCTAGTCTAGTTCTTTGATATCCTACATGTATAACCACCTATAGGTATATAGACATATATAATTTAAAGATCTAAAATAGAGCACGCAAAGAATGTTCGTTATGCATGTATATATAATATATACGCTACAGTACTAAATGGAAATTTCAATATTTAAATAGATTAGGATATGTTTTAGAATATGACGCACCATATATAATGTACCTTTAAAATTAGTTTCTAGGCAAATATAAAAAACTGACCGGTCGAAAGATACATACTGGTTCAAAAAAAATTCATGCACTACCATGCAAAAGCGTTTTTGCATCACTGGCAAAGCATACTTCCCTCCATGTTTCACTGCAAATTCAAGCATAATCAATTATATACATAAAATCTCATTCCTATAAAACAATTGAACTCACGGACAATAACAAAAAAAGTCCGCGTATGCAGTTACACGTGAAGTCTGCAATGTTTTTGCGCTTAAAAGTAAATGTCTATAATGATCATTGCACGAAAAAGATAACATGACTACAAATGCAGCAGACTATAAGTAAACTGTAATTGCCCAATTTAAATAATGACAAGGTTTCCTATCATTACATTATAGAAATTATATTTCGGACGCATATTATTGCATAGATATTTGGCGAATCTTGTAAAGCTACCTCGCATTCAAGCCCCAACCAAAGCCAAAACTGCCTGGGAACGAAATAATTGACGCTTCGACTTAAATCAAGCTTTAAATTATGTCCGCCATCCGTGATGCAAATGCAGACTCCAGTATCGCTATATACTATAACTGCGTCCGCCCTCCAAAGTTATGCCAGTAGTTATTTCTAGCTTGTGAAATATCAAGTGATTGCAGATCTCTCAGTAGTTGCAAATCCTTACTGCCTTTCTTACATTTTCAGCGCGTCGCATTTCATACGGTACCACATAATATAGTCTGCCTTTATGCTCTCTAGAATTATCGAGTGCCTATATATATTATCACATGTTATATAACCTTACTTCCAATGCTGTTCCGTCAACGATTATTAAAATATCCAACAATCTATACCTACATTTATTCCACCAAAAACTAGAAATACATTTTTTATTTCGAGTACAATTAACATAATCATAAAGTTGCACTGACCAAATTTCCTTACAATATAAATAACGTATACAATCTGCACTTATACCATGCATAAAAAATATAACTCACGCAGTATAGAAATATATATGGAGGCATACAAACAGCCATGTAACACAAACAGCCATGTAACACAAACAGCCATGTAACACAAACAGCCATGCAACACAAATAACTAGCTCAGTGTTTGATTTAAGATAGTGACACTGCATTTTCTGTGCTAGGCAGGTGTAAGTATAATGATATACTTGAATCCTGAGTTCTTGAAACACTCTATACCTAATACTATAATAATCTGTCATTTCTAAAATACAATCCATGTATTCAATGTGTTGCATTCAACAGTGAAGGTCGCCAGGAAGTCCCCTAATATTAAGAAGAATATTTTTGTTCACTTATTTTAAAGACCGAAATAGCAGTTCAAGAAACGACTGCTAATTCATATTGTTTTATGAGTGGATGTTTATGAATGGATATTTGGGAATAAGTTAATTACTATTTGCGCGACAAAAAGCGCTATGGCAACCATGTACTATATTAACGCGACCGCGACTGTACATCAGATATATTATCACGCAACACATGAACTAAAAAACACATCGGAGCGCAGGTTTAAGAAAAAACCCATACGAGTAGCCTGTGCAATGGTAGCTATATAATGGCCAACCTACTAGAATTCCTTTTTGCGTTCATTTTCATCTCACAAATGGCACAACCCGGTGGCGAATGCTCAACGCAAGCAGTCTTTCGTAGATACGAACAAAAATACTTGGCGAATCATGTCATCGAACAAAAGCAAGCAGATTCAGAGTTGGAATGTGGTATGCACTGCGTTGCACATGGTTCATGTGCGTCAATCAATTATAAAACTTCTGGAATTGGGAAAGGTCTGTGCGAGCTCAACAGCAAGAAAACTCAAGAAACATCCGATGTTGATGAGAAAGCGAACCCTGAATTCAACTATCTTCATCTTATTGTTCCAGTACGTATTATATTTATATAAAGTGAGAACACGTATTTCTTATAATTTAAAGTGCATTTGTTCAGGAACATGTACTTGTATTAAGCAAGCTCAGGCTCAGCGTATAATTAAAATGCGGGATAATGCATATACAATACTGTACAGAAATAACTTAACAAAAACCGCGTTTCACCGGTCAAACCTCGCTCTGATCACGGTTGAACCGAGGTCAGACCGAGGTCAAAACGCGGTGAGATGGCGCAGCTTAATGCTGTGCTGACTTAATATCCACCTGCAGCACCTATATTTTATAACAACTGTCTAAAATAGACAAGAATACTGCACGAGTGACTCTCCTCGCGAAGATTAAAACGTCGAGAAGCATTTTTGTCTATTTTAGGCAGTTAATTCCCATGCTGCTCCTTGGTTATATTGAATATTATTCTTACGAGTTATATTATACTTCAAAGTACACTGAAATTGTAAGCGAAGACAAAAATAATGAGTTACTCGCTGACGTGGCTTCAGAAACACCTGCAGTGAACTTACCAAAGAAGAAAATTTTGATCATTAGGTTATGTACTGCTCAATTCAGTGTGTTAGTATATTTTCACTTACATTAACTTCGTTTTTTGCAAGAAAGCGAATTTTTTGTATTTTTAATTCGTTCGTTTCCACAGAAGTTGAGAAAATTAGAGCAATATTTTTGGTCGAATATTTGTAGAATTGTTACGGCTGAAATTTTTAAGCAAAGCACATAAAATTTTAATCACTGGACAATGTTATATAATTTAATTTTTAAACTTTATTGCTTACAAGAAAGGAAACTATCCGTGCATCAATTTGTGCATTTCCGAAAAGACTTATACCGACTGCATGCACGTAATTGAGCGATAATTAACCGATAAAATTAAACCTTCAAAAAATTGGAATGATCATTTCTGTCGCATATTTGTAGAATTGTTACGGCCCAACTTTTTAGGCACAACACATGCAGTGTAAAATGACGGCAAGCAATGTATTTTTTTTTAATTTCAAATGCTGTTTTGCTTCAATCACAATGAAGTCAATGATCGACATACAACTGTTGTACGTTCCACGTTAGACTCCCGCAATGCATTGTAATGATGACTACCTATAGCTTCAAAATATAAAGGTTTAGGATTGTTTTCATGCCACCGATTGACAAGTATATATTCAAAATAAGCGATGCTTAAAACACCTGCAGAAAGCGTAGAAGTCTAGATGTGCAATAAAAATATTCCAACACTGTAAGTAATTATCTATTACAAGCTATCCGCGTTGCTTTGGTGATTCATCCAATATGTTAATAGCAATGGTTAATTTATAACCTGTTTTTAAACTTAAGTGTGTTTAGATTGAGGTGTTTATATAGACATTGAGTTATATTAAAGAGGCAACGCTTCTCACTCTTCAATATCAGCTTTATCGGAGGAATCAAATTCGTTTTCGTTCTAGAAAACACCTTTTATACAAGTCTGTTTCCTGAAATTCTCTTTTCTCTTCAATGATTTATCTAGCTATAAACTGGCCAATTCTTAAGGTGATATAAATGGCCGAAGATCAGTCTTTATGCAGGTGCTCTCAAGCATGCATGCTTCGTTCAATCATAATTAAGTTGTTGACAAGCGCTACATCATGCAGTACCCATGAAAGATTATATTGATCCACTGGTGGTCCACAGCGATTGTCTTATGTAAAATCAAGACCCTTTTGTGAAATGCACTGAATCTTTTATAGATTGCTCATCTGTGAAACGATGAAAAGCTGAGCGAGGACGAATGAAACAGTTCTGCCCTTGAAGTTATTATGAAATTCTAGCCTATATAGCTAGTATATTGTGGCCTATTTTCGTCGTTACATAGCAAAATGCAACACCTTTATTTCTTTATCAGACATTAATCGAAAATAATTCTTCTGGTATACATTTTGTACTTCCTCTTGTCAAATTTTGACCAGCACTCCAATAAACCCCATGTTTCTGTTACAAAATATACTTATAAGTATATCTTATCATGAACAAAAGCAGTAATTGTATATCATCATTGTACTAGTACGTATTATATTTATATAAAGTGAGAATATGTATTTCTTAAAATTTAAGGTACATTTGTTAAGGAATATGTATTTGTATTAAGCAAGCTCGGCGTATAAATAAAGTGCGGGATAATGCATATATATAGCAAAATGAGTACGGAAAATTAGAATTTATATAGTACATTATCCATCATACTGTCATTAAAACGATCACGCAGTTTTTTATAAAGACTCATTTTTCATTATATTTTTGGTGACATTATTTCAGATTTCCTGCAGGTGGATATTTTATAAAAACTGCCTATAAAAAAGTCAGGCTTGCTACTGAGTGCCTCTCATTAATATTAGGCTACATGCATACTTCTCAATTCATTGGAAAGTGCATTAGTGTTATTTTTCACTTACATTTTAACTTCGCTGTTTGCAAGAAAGCAATTTTTGGTATTTTTAATTTGTTCGTTTCCACAGAAATTGGGAAAATTGGAGAAATATTTTTTGTCGAATATTTGGAAAAATGTTACGGCTGAAATTTTTAAGCCAAACACATACAGTCTAAATTGCTGGACAATGTTATAGAATTTAAATTTAAATTAAGAATTCGGATTAACTTACCGTTTTGATAATGATTGGTGAAAACATTCAAATTTCATCCGTTTATAAATTTTGCATAGTACTGCAACAACAACCTGTGATCAGACGAACGTATATTCACGTTCATGATACTAGTAAAATATACTTAAATAAACTACACTGCATCCATTTT